TAATACCTGTGAATGCCTGTCTTTGAGGTGGGCCTTTTGCAAATAGAATTTTTTTCTTCTGCATATGAACTCAAATGCAGACACACACTTGGCCATGGGTTAAAGAGTCCTGGAATGGGGACACCTGGGTGGCTCAATTGGTTAAGCATCTGCCTTTGACTCAGGTCATGATCCCAGGGTCCTGGGATCAAGCCCGGAGTAGGGCTCTCTGCTCGGCAGGGAGCCTGCTTCTCCCTCTTCTGCCCACTGCTCCCCCTGCTTATGCTCAATCTCTCTGTGTCAGATAAATAAAAATCTTAAAAAAAAAAAAAAAAAAGAGTCCTGGAATGAATTGGAGAACAAGTATATTTATCTTGGTGCTGAAAGGACTCTCAGTAAAACTGCCTTCAACTTAGAAACAGAAGTGGCCCTTTACTGCTGTGCATCAAGATGCTGGACTAGGTTGGAGTAGGGTTGGTGAATGTCTGCAGTTGTTACAACGCTCCTGTATCCTGTGGCCGCGGCCAGCATCATTCATACTCACATTGCCCAGGGCAGGACTGTGGAGCCCAGACAGATCCTTGTGACTCTACTCACCACGGCATGCTGCATTTCTCCTGCCAACAGACCAGAGCGGGTAAAAGAGATAAGTCAGGGTGAGGTCTGTTTGGCATCTTGCAGTTGCTTTGGGGTAACTTTGGGGAGCTGCTTTAGTCACAAGTGGAGGACTTGATTTTACTAAAGGTTAGTAGGAAGTGAAATCATGTCTGCCAAAGTACGTTATAAATTAGGAAATGCTATGGAGGCAGCTGCTGTTTCTTTTTGGGTTGCTCTGCACTCGATCTAAGTGGTTTTTGATCGTTTCATGGTTTTTGATCGTTTCAAAATGCCTGAAAAATCACGCTCTAGGCATGTTAAGTCTGTCATTACAGCAATGATTTCTGTGATAGTTAACATTCTATTTACATATAAAGTGGGTTGTGTTCCTTCTTATCCTCCCTCTGCCATCCCCTGGTTCCACACTCCTTCTATGCTAAGGCTCCCACTTTTTGAAATATGTGAACAAGATTTGCTCCCATAGAGAAAACAGGAGACAGGAAATAGCAAAGGATAAAGGAACAGAGGCCAGGGTCAGGTCAAGAGCTTCCCACGTCTTCTCCCCAGTCTAGCAGGAACCAGATGAAAGCCTTGAGGAGGTCCTGGAAGCAAAAGGCGATAATTCAGAGAAGATTGAGGGTTAAGTGGAATATGCTGAAAAAATAGGAAACACATTTGCAGCGTGGACTAACACTGATTATCTTAAAATGTCTGAATGGTTAGGGTGCCTGGGTGGCTCAGTCGGTTAAGCGTCTGACTCTGGATTTTGGCTCAGGTCATGAGCCCAGGGTCGTGAGATGGAGCCCTGCACCGGGCTCCGCGCTGAGGGTGGACTCTGCTTAAGATTCTCCCTCTCCCTCTGCCCCCGCTTCTAAAGAAATGTCTGAATGGTTAAATAATATTCATGAACTCTCATTTTGCAGCTTAGAACTAACATCTTACAGTTTCAAGCAGCTTATGTCCCTGCCTTGGTTTCCGTGCAAAGCTCTGGTGGAGCCACAGATGTCTCATGTCAATCTAGGAGTTGCTCTGCGGTGGCTGCATTCCAGGATTCCGTGAGTTTTCTAGATCAAGAGCTGGTGTTTGTCATACATGTTAGTGGCTTGCTGGTGCTATTGCAAGTGGGTGGCAGTCTTGACTCTGAATGTCTTACTCCATAAAAAGCCAGCTGGAGACGCCTTTTTCAGAACCATCTGAGGCAGCCAGAGGTCAAGGATTCCAGATTCCTCTCCCAGTCAAAGGATGCTCTAAGGGACCACCAGAAAAGATACAAAGTCTCAGTCCCAGGCTGCCTTACTGATCCTTAGAGAAGAGTCATGACCATGTGACCTTCTCTCCCCCTCACACTTCCCACTGGAAAGGGTTTGCCAAGTTTCAAAATTCAGAATTCAAGACAAACCATGAAACATTTGAGAAATAATTCTAGACAGTTCTTTATTCATATATTTTTTAAAACCTAGAGGTCATTCTTGATTCTTCTGTCTCACTTATACCATATCCTCCATCATATCTTCCATTCTGTCACAAACCCTGTTGGTTCTGTTTCCAAAATATGTCTTTAATCCATCAGCTTCTACCTAATTTTCACTCAAGCCCCAGCCTAAGCCAAGCCACCATCACAATAGCCTCCTGAACTGGAGAACTGGTCTCTTGTTCCCATCCTGCCCCCCCAGGATTCCTTTCTCCATGTGGTCGTCAGAGTGACCAGAGTAGAGGATTGAGCCATGTGATTCCTTTCCTTAAACCCTCCAATATTGCCCCAATTACACTGAGGATAAAGTTCAACTCTTAGCATAGCCTCAGGGCCCCGGGTAATCTGCCCCTTGCTTCAGTCTCCAGCTTTATCGTGAGCCACTTTCTCCCTCAGTCTCTCTGTTGCATTCACAGATATTTTTTCCCTTCCATTCACAGAGCCTTTGCACATGCTTTTTTCCTGACTTGTGACATCTACCTCCTTCAGATCTCAGTTTTAGCATTAATTGGGGCCTTTATGACTACACATTCTTGCACACAAGGCTTTCTCTCTCACATTACCTTTTTCCTTCATAGCACTTAGTACACTCTGTAATTATGTATTCCACCGGTTTCCTTACTCGCTTAATGTCTGTCTCCTCCTCTAGACCGTGAACCCCATGAGGGACACGGACCATGACTGTTGTTCACCATGATAGTCAAGTACTTACTCTGCCCCTGGAGCTGACCCTTTGGTGGGTTCTCTGTATCAGTACTCTTTGTCTTGGATCATGGACCACACCGGTCCATGATGAGTTTCTATTAGGTGTGGGCATAAGCTTCTTATGCCCATCCATTGCCCTGTTCAGTGGAAAAACAGGATCTCATCTGTGAAGGAGGACATCATATTGTGTGAATGCTAGGGTCTTGTTCTTCTGTAAGGTTCATATCGCTGTGTTTTGAACTCAGGCCAAGCGTCACTGGTGTATCCTCTTGCTGGGGTCAGAATCTTAATGTCTTTTTTTTTTTTAATTGTTTTTTGAATCTTTGCATCTTAATCCTGCTTTCCTCTACTTATAAACCTTGGGCAAGCTGTGTAACTTCTCAGATTTTACCTCTTAAAGCTGTTGTTAGGGACATCAAATGTGTCTAATTTTTGTTTTAGTGTCTAATGTTTAAATGTCTAATGCTTAAATTTATATGAAATTGTTAGCTTAATGTCTGGTACATAGTAAGCACCTAAATGATATCTGTTAGAGTGGAAGCTCAATAAATATCTATTGAATGACTAAATAAATGAATAACTTAACCTCTCAGACTTCAGGTTCATCACTGGTAAATAAAGGGGTTTAGCTAGATGATAACTTTCTAGTCTAATTGTCTATGGATTTGGTTATGAAGATGTTAATAGTTGTGGTTATGTCCTTATAGATTTCTTTTTCAGGATTGTTCTAAGCAATGATGAAAAGTCAAATTCTAAGCTGAAATAAATCAAATGAATTAAACAAAAAATTGGACAAAAAAGAAAATATTTAACAAATCACCCTAAGTCCAGGGATAAGCTGGTCTTTGGTTTAGTCTGCCTGTGGTCACCACAGGGCTTGTAGCTTCTCTGAGGGTCTTTAACATTTCCAGGACAGTAATTAACCATTTAGTAGAGGTATCTCCTACACTAAATGAACGTGAACTCTTCATTTCAGGTATCTCGTTGCATTTCCCCAAGGGCAGGAGATATGAAACCATTAAGAAAGTATAAACCAGGGGCATCTGGCTGGCTCAGCAGGTAGCACATGCAACTCTTGATCTCACGGTTGTGAGTTCAAGCCCCATGTTGGGCAGAGAGCTTACCTAAAATAAATAAGTAAATAAAATATATAATAAATTTTTGTAAATCAGTTAAAAAAAAAGACGGCCCAGTAAAAAATGGGCTGACAATGTGAACAGGCAATTTACAGAGGAGGAAACCTGAACAGCCTCTTGACCTATGAAAAGATGGGCAACTCACTAGCAACCAGGCAAGGGTAGATTAAAGCAAGAAAATAATATCATACTCATTAGATTTTTGAAATTTAAGAGCTTGATAACATCAGGACTGGCAAGGATGTGAAGAAGCAGGAACACATGCATGCAGGTGGGAGTATAAATTGGCACAGTGATTCTGCAGAGGAATATGGCCATGTGCGGTAGAGGTGGATACCTGTAATCCAGCAGTTCCATGTCTAGGCATATATTGTGGACATGAGCACAAAGAGGCAAGTAAGAGGGTGTTGTTGCTATGGTTAAAAAAAAAAAAGAAAAATTCTATATGTCCATCAAAAATGGAATAGATAATTAAATTATGGAATCGTCACAATGTATTACAATTGAACTTTATTCAGCAGTTAAAATACACCATGTTGAATATAAAAAAGCAATTGCCAGGGGCGCCTGGGTGGCTCAGTCGTTAAGCGTCTGCCTTCAGCTCAGGTCATGATCCCAGTGTCCTGGGATCGAGCCCCGCATCGGGCTCCCTGCTCAGCGGGGAGCCTGCTTCTCCCTCTTCCACTCCCCCTACTTGTGTTCCCTCTCTCGCTGTGTCTCTCTCTGTCAAATAAATAAATAAATAATCTTTAAAAAAAAAAGTGGTAATGTGTTTAAAAAAAAAAAAAGCAATTGCCAAAAATATAGTTTACACCGTGATACTGTGTAGGAAAAAATTGAAACGTGAGTGTATATTGTTTGTGGATTAATATTTATCTGGATAATGTATAAAAACAGAGAGGGAAAGATAGACCCAGCATGGGATGGTGGATACTTCTGGGGATGTAAGGAGAACCCCATGAGTAACATTTTACTTCTTTTTTTTTTTTTTTTTCAGGTGAAACAATTTTATTTCACAGTTGTCTTTAAAACCACAAAGACACTATGTTCTTCATATAAAAACATCAGTACAGATACCTATACTTTCTAGAAAATGATTGTATAGACCCCTCTCAAAGAAAAATGCACACCATTATATGGTTTCAGACAAGTTGCTAGGGAAAAACACATCTGGACTGATTCCTACGTACAGATTATTGTCATCAGTACATGTTCCTGCATTCTTACAGATTTGATAATAAACATACAGACTGGCTTGTAACTTAATGTTCCATCGGTTCATCAGCCTTTTCTGCAGGTTCATCAGCAGGTTGAGCAGGCTGTGCCTTTCTCTGTGGTCTTTCTTCAAGACCTTCCAGGAATGGAGATACATCATCATCATCATAAATCGTAAACTCCAAGTCTTTACCAACAATTCCAATGGAAACATTCTTTGTAGTTAGGTCCTGTTCTGCAGAAGCGTCTCTCGTAAGGCACGCAGACCATGTTTAACCAGTTCATTCAAATTGCACTCCATAAACCCAGACATATGTCTCTCCAAGTAAGTATGAGCTGATTGAGAACGGGCTCCAATGGACATGGCTCTACAGTCAAAATAGTTGGCAGATGGACAGGTTTGGAAAATGTGAGGGCCCATATCATCATAACCAGCAATAAGCAGCCCAACACCATATGGTCTCTGGCCATATCGTTGTGTTGGTGTCTGGGTCTTGCTTCCAATTAGAGATACAAGACGAGACACAGGAAGAGGTCTGTCAAATACAAATCTGGAATCCAAACACTCTTGGCGCATAAAATTACATAACAGTCTAGCATCAGCAGTAAGTCCCGCAATTGAGATACCAGTATGGTTGTCAACATGGAGAATTTTTTTCTGATGAGCTGCAAGCTCTGACTGTGCTCTCTTCAATGCAACCAACACTGCATGGGTTTTTGATTTCAGACCAACTGTGGCTGAACCTTGCTTGACAGCTTCCATTGCATACTCAATTTGATGAATCCTGCCCTGAGGGCTCCAAACAGTGACATCATTGTCATACTGGTTGCGAAACATGGTTCCGGCGTGGGTCTGGCTGCGGCCTCCTGCAGAGGTGCGGGTTCCATTTTACTTCTTTAAAAAAATACATACATACACAGATGTGCAAAATATTTAAAACTGTTAAAACTGGGTAGTAGCTACATGAGTGTCTATCATAATATTCTATTTGATCTTTTTGAAATATTTTATAATTAAAAAAAAAAACTTAGAAAACAAGAATATTTTATGTAATAAAAGTTCCAGTATCAGAATCTGCTCTTTTGTAGCTTAGGAATAATCTCACTCCTTTTTTGCCATTTTGTGGCTAATTTCTGCTTGGCCTTTGTGTGCATCCTTAAGCCTCACCCCCTCCAGGTGGTTTATAGATCCCTGTGTTGGGTTCAAGGCCTTCTGTGTATGCTTACATAGTACCTTCTCTTTCTCTTCTTGCAACACTTCTCATCCAGCCATGCAGTTTCCTGTTTACTTGCAGCTTGGACCCACTGGACCCTAAGACATTCCTCTGGGGACAGGTGACTTGTTTACTGTAGCATCTCTAGGGACTGGTGTGCACTGGTGTGTGATAGATATATATTAAGTGACAATGAATTAACGGATGCTTCAGTGGTTTACATTCCCTGTATGCACACAGTGGGCCAGAGTTGGATACTTGAAATCACCAACTCTATGTACTATATATCAACTATGAATTGAAACTATATAGCAACATGTCTTGCCCCAGAGAGGCTGTGTGCACCATTTTTGACTTGGCCAGCCTATAGGCCTTGCACCACAGTGTCATGGTGGAGAGGAAGAGCAGGGTGACGGGCTTCTTGTGAGGAAAACTTGTCTTAGACCCACTGACTCATCTCCCTCAAGAATCAGGTTGTAATTAAGCTTTGGCAAGGGATGTACCCCATCCAGCTAATTTCCTGGGCACTGGGAGGTCAGGGTCCTTTAGTCTATCAGCTAAGCCAGCTCTTCACAGGGAGGAAGGATCACTGCTGCCACCTCGCCCACACCCAGGGGCCCAGCCCCTGCTTTGTCCCTGATGAAATTGGGTTCAGGTTGAGTGGGCTGGCCAGCCCCCAATGTGGCCTCAGTGGAGAGCCTGCTGCAGGCCCCATTTCCTTCTTCCTAGGCCTGGCCAGCTGTAGCCTTGAGCAGGCCTGCTTCCTCGGACCCAAAGAGAACATGCTTCCCTTCTCCTTTCTTCCTTCCTCTCGCCTTCATTTGATTATTCATTAGAATCTGCTCCCATGTCAAGCCCACCTCCATGTAGCCTAGCTGGTATTGGCTCAGCCTCCAGCCCCACAAAACAGGCAGAACTTCTTCTCTGACAAAGCCAGCTGTTGGCTGGAAGCTGGTGGGTGTCTTCAGAACCTCTCTTGACCAGAAGAGATCCCTGAAATCTTAGAGCACGAAGCCCTGTGTTCATACTGATAGCACTTGGGACCATTTACTTTCCTGCCATTGTGGAGAGAGCCTCAGCTCTACCCAGGCCTGACCTGGGGTCAGGTAGTTTACCTTTCTGACCCTCAGCATCTTCATCTGCCAGATAGAATAAATAATACCTTGCAGCAGAGTTTTGAGATAATTAGGGGCTGTGTTGTAAAGCGGTTAAGTTGCCAGAATGCTTGGACCTGAATCCTGATTCTGCCCCTGCAGTTTCCCGATCCAAAATAGGGTAACCTTGGTCCCTGCCTGCTTATTGGAAATGCTCAGAACAATGTGTGGCCTGTAATGAGCACCTTCTAAAAGTTCACTGGTTTTAGTGGTGTCTTGTAGATAGTATGCCCTCAATACACATTATGTTCTATTACCATTATTTTTACTTACCTTAGTTCCTTCAGGTTACTGTCACAAAAACACCACAGACCGAGTGGCTTATAAACAAGAGAAATTTATTTCTCACAGTTCTGGAGGCTGAGAAGTTCAAGATGAAGGTGCTGGCAGATTCAGTGTCTGATAAGGACCACTTTCCTGGTTCATAGAAGGCCGTCTTGTCTTCTCGCTGTGCGCTGTGTCAGGACATGGTGGAAGGGGCAAGGAGCTCTGTGGGGTCTCTTTTGTAAGGATACTAATCCCATTCAGGAGGGCTCCACCCTTATGACCTAATCCCTTCCCAAAGGCCCCACCTCCAAATACCATCACATGGAGGATTCGGTTTCAACATGAATTTTGGGAAGATGCGAACATGAAGTCTATAGCATTTTGTCCCTGGCCCCCCAAATTCATGTCTTTCTCATGTGCAAAACATATTCATTCCATTCCCAAACCCCCAAAGTCTTCACTTATTCCAACATCAACTCAAAAGTCTGAAGTCCAAAGTCATCTAAATATCATCTAAATCAGATGTGGGTAAGATTGGAGCTATGATTCATCCTGAGACACATTGAGACAAATTCCTCTCTAAGCTGTGAACCTGTGAAACCAAACAAATTATGTGCTTCCAAAACACAGTGGTGAGACAGGCAGAGGATAAACGTTTCCATTCAAAAAAAAAATCCAAACTACAAGACAAAACTCCCATCAGATCTTAGGTTTGCAATAAAACCCTCTTGGGCTTGATTCTCTGCCCTCCAGACCCACTGGAGCAGGAGTGTCACCTTCGGGACACACTGAGACAGAGGTCCTGACCCCGCAGCTTTGCAGGGCAGGAATTGGGCCCACAAGACTTTGGGGTTGTTGTAAGGATTAATGAGATAATGTATGAAAATACCTGGCATGCAATAAATGTTCAGTACATATTATTTCCTTCCTTCCTGACTCTTGATCGTGGAGAAGGGGTACCTCCGACAGGGGGCAGGTGACCCCTAACATTGAGCTGTAGGCATTCATTCTTACAAACTTCTCCCCTGAGGTAAGGAGCCAACTCTAGGTCTCTTGAAAAGTTCCAAGGGCTTTGGCATCCTCGTGACATTAGGACCTGGAGATGGGTGAGTTGGTGAGTTTAGTTCTGCCTGGACCCTGAGCTAAGAAGGCTGCCAGGCGTGAACCCATCATGGGCATTTAATTGAGCATATATTTCATAGTATTCCTGAAGGAAGCTTGGAAGGGACCTTGGAGATCTTGAGTCTAATCTCTGCAATGTACAAGGTGGAAATGGGTGATGTAGTATGAGCTGTCTGAGATCACATCAGCCAGTCTTGTGCAGGTAGAAGCCGGCACACCTGAATGCCCCTCCCTAAGCCCCTCCCAGGCTGCCTTCACAAAGAAGACTCCGAAGGGCTGTGTGCAAATCAATCAGACCACTTTAGATGACTTCTGATCTCTGAAAGCTGATTTATCTTCACTTCATCCAGGGCATAACCTCTGTCATGTCTGAAAAATTCTAGGTGAAGAGAGCAGTGTCTCAGACCTCCCGAGTTGTAAGCATTTGAGAAATCAAAGGAGATTCGAACACAAAGGGAACCGAGAAGCCGTTTCCTTCTTACACCTTCTCATCCCTTCTATCTCCTGTCAAAGCCAGCAGAACTGGTTTTCAGTTATGTACCTCCTCTAGCTATGTACAGAGACTAGGAGGCAGATGATGGTTTGCTTTATAATCTATGCATTACTTTGCTAAGCTGTGAACCCAGGGGGACCTTCTATCTAAAAGTGTCTGGAGGGGTACTTACCCAGGAACGTGGTGGCACTAGTGTCTTAGTTTCTGGAAAGTTCGCTTGCTCTGTGCACCTGAAAATTGCACTGAGCATAACCAGGCACTCTCCTCTTGGTGAACTGCAAGTGTACACGGCTTGGTGGACATTGTGGAGGAATCTCAAGCTATAGCGAGGAAACATGTGAATTGTTTGCGTGACCGTGCAGAGGTACATGGCTCTGTACCAGGCACGGGTTACCAACATGGAAGAGTCACAGTTCTGCTTTTTAGGTGCTTGCTGCGTGGTTCCAAAAATATTGTGATCCAAAAATACTGACACGTACAAATTTAGGCTTTGAAAAGAGTGAGAGCATTCATAAGAGAGTTTCCATTGTGTTTAAAACGCGATGATTTTTTTAAGACTTATTTTTTTAGAACAATTTTAGGTTCACGGCAGAAAGTGAGCAGAAAGTATAGAGATTTCCTCTACACCCAGCCTCCATGAATAACTAGCCTCTCCCATTATCAGCATCCCCCCATCAGAGTTGATATATTTATTACAGTTGGTGAATCTACATCGATACAACATGATCACCCAAAGTCCATAGTTTATATTAGGACTCACTCTTGGTGTTGGACATTCTTTGGGTTTGGACAAATATATAATGACATGTATCCATCATTATAACATCATACGAGGTAATTTTCACTGCCCTAAAAATCCTCTGTGCTCTCCCTATTCATCCCTCTCTTCCCATCCCAACCCCTTCGCAACCACTGATCTTTGACTATCTCCATAGTTTTACCTTTTCCAGAATGTCATAGAGTTGGAATCGTAGAGTATGTAGCCTTTCCAGATTGGCTTCTTTCTTTAGTAATACACATTTATGGTTCCTCCATGTATGTCCATGGCTTAATAGCTCATTTCTTGGGATGCTTGGGTGGCTCAGTCAATTAAGCAACTGCCTTCAGCTCAGGTCATGATCCCAGGTTCCTGGGATCAAGTCCCACATCAGGCTCCGTGCTCAGTGGGGAGCCTGATCCTCCCTCTTCCTGCCACTCCCCCTGCTTGTGCTCTCTCTCTCTCTGACAAATAAATAAATAAAATCTTTTTTAAAAATAGCTCATTTCTTTCTAGCGCTGAATAATATTCTATTATCTGGATGTACTGCAGTTTATTTATCCATTCACCTACTGAAGGACATCTTGGTTACTTCCAGGTTTTGGTAATTAAATAAAGCTGCTACAAATATCTGTGTGCGGGTTTTTGTGGGGACATGAGGTTTCAACTGCTTTGGGTAAATTCCAAGGAGCACGATTGCTGGATTGAAACTTGATGATTTTAAAGAACTAGATGATAGTGAACAAATAGAAATTGTTTTAGAAGCGGGAAATCACTCTAATCAAAGGGAAAATAAGCCACTTTTTTTTTTAAAGGAAATTATAATCTACTATGAAAGAAGGGAAGAAGGGGAGTTTGGGTCCAATTTTTAT